ATAGGAACAAATTGGAAGGTCATGCACAAAATGGCAAGCAGATCAAAACGTGCCCCGCGTTTCTAATGCACAATGACGCACGAAACGTACTCACAGGTACAGACGAACGCGAATAAGCTCCTTGGTTGTTACCTCGCTGTGTCTGAAAAGCGCACCCTTTTTGCAGACGGAGACTGGCAACAATGCAGTGACCTTTGTGTGCCCCATAACTACAACAGAATCGTACCGGTGAAAACCTAAGGCCAGCCAAGGCGTACGAGTGTTCCCACCGCGAGATAAGCAAGTTCATGCGTGTACATCCACCCTGCCCCTTCTCCGCAGACAAAAAGTACGCGTGGGAGATGAGAGTGCCACCTCACACTTATTGCGCTATTTTGCTGATAATGCTGAAAATACGATAGTTCCCCCGAGATGCCTGCCAACAGCGGTAAGTAGTAGATATAAATAGCTTGCCGTTTGAACGTTGAAGAAGGTACTTCTCGGTGGCTCAGTAAATGCCTCGCATTCATGACGCAGAGGTGCCATGTTCTATTTCGCTGCGGGAATCGTCTTTTCTCTGGATTTTTCTTTCTTGCCTTTTTATATATATAGAGAAGTATACATATACGATGCATGACATCTAGACCGGCGGCAAAATCCAGCCGAGAGTGTATATATAATTGCTATTACAATAAAACAGCTCCATACTCCTGCAGGAAAACACCAAGAATTGCGCCGTGGGAACATTCACGGAGCACAAGGAAACTTGCTACGAAAGTAAAACCGCCGACCTGAACTCTACTTGTGCTGGTTCCAAGCGGAGAGACGGTGCAGTCACTAGCCGTTTAAAGCACAGAGCTATACCAGGGTGTGATTACCTTCTTCAGCAGTGCGGTCATTTTCCCGCTTAGTATGGAATAGTCAGCCCCGGTATCCACTAAAGCACCAGTTGCATAGCTGTCGATCAGCACCGGTATACCGAGAGAAATCCTCACATACTGCTCAGTCGAATCTACATCCTTACCTATTAGCGTTGATCGAAAGTCTTCAGCACGTCGACTGCCAGCGACCTTGCCTCCAAAGGTCGCTTTTGTTAGTTTTTTCGGTGGGGACTCGGGGACCACGTGCCAGCATGTCGCTGAGGCGGAGATGAAAAGCGCCTTGAGGACGGTGAACGCAACTGCTGTCCAGAAGGCAGTGGCATGTGCTGCTGAGCCAGGTTTTTCTCAATGGCCTGGGGTCGCTGGCCATATCGAGGAGGCGCTGAATATGCTGAAAAGCCCCGCAGCCCGAGGCACCGGTATAGGCACTGGCAGTACAAATGGTCCGCTTCACCGCAGTGAAAGCACAGAGGTCGGTGATCAGGAGTGCGCCAAACATCAGATTTCCGAGGCGATGCGCATCTGTCATCGAGGTAATGTGCTGTTTGCTCAACAAGATGTGCTGGACTGGCGTAAATGAAAGGCGGCAGCATGCGTGCATTCTCGTAGTACTGGAGCGGCTGCGCTGACTGAAGTGAAACCGTAGGAGGTGCCTGAACGAATAGCGGGGAAGAGGTAGCAGGACGCTTCAAGGCTTCCACATAGGTCGCACGGTGGTAGTCAGCCGGCGCGGGTGTGGTGTTATCCAGATTCACAGGGTCACGAAGAGCCTGATGCAGCTCGTCCTTGATGATACTTGCAAAGGAACTCACCGCAGGGAGTGGTGGTGCAGCAGTCTTTTGTAGCTCCTTGCGTACTATAGATCGGATAAGGTCGCACAGACACTTGGTATTGCTCCCAATAACCGTGAGAACTTGAGCAGCAGACGTGTTGTTCACTTGCTGCTCGTGCAGGGTGGATATACGCTAAAGCATCTTTTTCATTGTGACGGCCTTGGACAGGAACTCGGCGGCCGTCTTCGGAGGGCTCTGTACAAGGCCAGTGAAAAGCTGCTCCTTAACTCTCCATATCAGGTGAAACATCTTCTTCTCTTCTGTCATTCTCGGATCATCCCGTCGGAACAGGCACATCATATCTTCGACACAGGTCGTGACTGTTTTGTTGGGCATCTGAATGTGGGCCTGAATCGCTCGTTCCGCTTATTCATGACGATCAGCAATTGTGTAAGTATCCAGCAGCCGGGGGCATAAACCGGGCCACAACGTCATCTGTTCCTCATGGTTCAAGTACCATGTACGTGCTCCGTCCTCCAAGTAGAAGTACACACGTCGTAGATTGGCTGCGTCGTTCCATTCGTTCAAGGCAGCCACGCGCTCGAAATCGACCAACCAGTCCTCGACGTCTTCGAGCTTGGTGCTATGAAACGGTGTCGAAACCTGTGAACTTTCGAGGGTGTACTGTGTCGCCGTTGGGTTTTCTGTACCTGTTGAAGTGGTTTGAACGGATGTGCTCGTCATACTGGTGTGAACTGTAACGTCAGCTTCGGGCAGTAATCCCTTGATCCTGCGGCTGGTCCGATGAACGGTAGTGTTAACTCACACAGGGCTTGTGGTGCGGCTTCCAGGAGGGGTCTGAAACATTCATGAGAGGCTACCCTGCGCCTCCATCAATCATCACGTCGCTCCAGGAGTCTAGAGAAGGCTTATTGAAGTCTGAGCAACAGGGCTATTACTAATCATGTCGGTTGGCCTTTCTCGCCAAAGCGGGGACACGCGCGTACTTCTTTCTTTAGTGGTGTGAGCCTTCGTCTTGGCATACAACTCACTACTAGAAGCAGGTGGCAATATCATAGCGCAGCATGTGACGTGCGATTCACAATAACTTCTCAAAGTCAGCTAAATATTGCTCTCTTCTCGACGAATGACTCTACCAGCTCAAAAAGCATGTGTGATGTATTTTCTTTCTCTGTTCCACCCCTCCCTACTTAGCTTCCAGTGCTTTCATTGGGACGAGAAGAGAGAATGCACTTGAAGCATGCGAGAAATTTTTGCAGCTTCATTAGTACTGGGCGGATTCTTAAAATATTTGCGGTGGGGAATTTATGAGGCAATAAATAAGCTTCTTTAGTGAATCCATTTCATTGATACTTTAAAAAGTCTTGCACAGCCCCTTTAAATGAAAATAATACTCTCAAATCAATTCATTAGGCTTAAAAGCTAGTTATGACAGGTTATATGGTCCAAGTTTAATAAATTTTAAACTGTTATGTATGTTAAGGGTTATGCCTCGCATCCTACTGAAAGTCAAATCCTGCTACTACTCAGTTTTTTCGACTTTCTTTGAACAAAAATAAAACGACATTTGCATAAAAACCCTATTTCAATTTTTAAAGAAACATTCTGAAGGTTAGTTCGCTCATGATAAATATGCCCATTTTTTTTTTGTATGTCATATAACTTGGGCATTCTCAGAGAATCTATTTCTCTTTCGCTCTAAATAGCATTGTCTTGAAAATTCAGGTTTTCGATCTTTTATTACAGCGTTTTTCTTTTCGTTTTCTTTTTCATCTTGTATGTGCTGTAATTATTGTATACTTATGTATTCATTACTTTCTTGGCTTGAACAGTGAAAATAATTGTGTTTATTGTTTTGTATTTATTATGTATTTATTTTTACTTTAATCACACGACATATGAAGTATGAATTTGTGGTGTTTTTTTTCTCTTTTGTCTGGTACATGCGTTATTATGAAATAATTTGCTATGTCGCTCCTTGTGTTCACTATGAGTGTATGAAACACTCACCCCAAACAATCTTTATGCCACTTCTTATTTCGACTATGTCGCCATGTAACTGCCCACCTGCTTGGGCCTAAAGGTCTGCAGTATGTAATAAATAAAATAAATAATTACTATTCGAATTCGAGTCACAATTATGCAACCAATGTCACTATTCGCTTCAAACCTAAAATTCGCTATTCGCTTGTGCCTAGCAAATATAGGTAGTTTGTAGCTGTTGTAAAGTTAGAAAGGCCCCGCCGCAGTGGTCTAGTGGCTAAGGTACTCGGCTGCTGACCCGCAGGTCGCGCGTTCGTATCCTGGCTGCGGCGGCTGCATTTTCGATGGAGGCGGAAATGTTGTAGGCCCGTGTGCTCAGATTTGGGTGCACGTTAAAGAACCCCAGGTGGTCGAAATTTCCGGAGCCCTCCACTACGGCGTCTCTCATAATCATATGGTGGTTTTGGGACGTTAAACCTCACAAACCAACCTAAAGTTAGAAAGAAGTAATGCTTGGTAATTATTACACATAGCAGTACATATATATACTTGAGCATACTGCTATGTCTACTTTTTTTTTTCTTTTAAATATTGGTAGCACTACCAGCCCTAACTAGCTTCAGCAGGAGGACATGAAGAGTGACCTTAAAGATATGAAGCTGCAACGAGAATTCATCAACAACTTCAACCTCGAAAGAGGCATGTAAAATTTTGCTGAGAGAATGCAGGGTTCTAGAATGTGTTCTTGTTTTTTGGTCCTGTTTCTCAGCTGTGGCAAATCTTCAAGTTAAAGAACTTGTCGAATAGGATAAGAAACTTTCATTACCACAAATTTCATTAAACACAGTGTGTATATTTTGCACAAGTGAGCAGCTAATTATAAGCCCGGTATTGGTAACTGTCCACCAAACAGCAGCTCAACCATTCTCTTCATGAAGCATTGCATGAATTACTTATTTTACAATTCAACATAGGCCTTAGTGTAACTGAAGGTGCGAACTCATCTGAGTAGATTATTCTTTTTTTTTAGTAAAAAAAAATTGTGAAATATTTACGCAGCTTGCACTTCCATACACTAACTGAACTGTCAGAGAATGACTCATTTAATTACAAATACAAACTGCATTATGGTGAAATTTAAATGTGACTGCCTGTCATGGGACTGCAGACACTGAAGGTTAGACACAAACAATGAACAGTAAGTTAATTTCATCTTCTGTATTTTTTATAATAAACATGTGGTCATTTATCTTGGTACATGAAGGTGGCGGATATCTTCAAAGATTTCTCCAGCACATGCTCCATTCAGTACACTAGGTGTCAATGTTTGTTTGTGATTTATGCATTCTTTTGTTGCTTCTAGCTAGAAAAGAAGAACACTGAACTTGAAAATTTGAAGAGGCAGCAGACAGAATTACTCTCTTCCAAGACACCCCAGTTGAATTGCTCTCTACAGAAGCTGCTTAAAGCTTTGCAGAACCAACATTCTGAACTGCTCAGGCAGCATATAGCTCAAGCACGAAATGAAGCCTTCCAGAGTGCACTGAATGAACTTCAAGTAAGTGTACATTTTAGTTTTGCATTTTTGTCAATTGGCGCTTTTGATTAGTGGCTGTAGGCATTTATAATTTAGCATCGGCTTTTATCTTTAAAAACTACTTCTTTTTGGTATTCATCGAAAGAGATAATTTTCAATGACCATATTTTTCTCATAAATTTTTTTGTAGTCTCTTTAGGACTTCTTACCTACATCCTACCGAGAAGCATAAACTTAGTATGGCCACTTATCTGAAAAACATGAATGTGGTTTTACCTTGAGTTAATGAAGAAGTTGGGCTAGCATTGAGAAACTTCTTTCTGTTGCAAATTTTGTTTAATGAGGGTTTTTATGCTTCATCAGTAAAAAAAACAACCGAAAGCCATGTCTTCCTATATTATTCCTGGTGATAGTATTTCATTAAAAGCTACCTTTACCAAAATTATTGCATCAAGGGAATGCATCATTGTGAGAATGGGCACTTGTCTTGCATAGCATTTAAGATAAAAAATGGTTAAACTAAGGAAAGAATTTGAACTAGAATATTGTTGGCACATGATTTCCAAGCTTTAGTAGCATAGCAATTTTTATGAGAATTGTTTCTTTTACTCTGATGCGATGATGCGAAGTTTTGTCAGTTTGCTGCCAGCTGCTGTTTCATTGTTTTCGAGAATATTGTCTGCTACTCTGATGTGTGGGTGTCCTCGGGGCAGATGGTGCTGTGATACATCCTGCATGTACGATTTGAGTGAACTGTGCATACACGACAGAGCTTTTGCTGCTTGAATTTTACTAAGTTTACTAGCTACAGAGGCCTTTAAGTACTAGATGCTTGAAATAACCGAAATTCTATTAAATCAAAGACGTGTGGTGCACTTGCTTTGTTGAAGAGTGGAAGAAAATATTTGGTTTTCAGTACAGCCAAGTTACGGAAATGAAAATGTTTTGTTGCATAGCGGATTTTGCTGTATTGAGGAAATGAAATTGTTTTGTTACACAGCGGATTTTGTTGTATTGAGGTTCGTTACATCAAGGTTTCACAGTACTACTTTTTGTTATGAGAAATTTTCATAAGTTATAGTTCCATAGGTGTCAGGTTAGTTCAGTGTTGTCGCCTATTCTCTACAGATTGCGGTAATGGTCAATCATACATATGTGTTGTATAACAGCTATTGGAAACTGATGACTGATAGAGACAAAAAAAATGTTTTATTGCTTAGTGGCAGTGCAATGGCTACTAAAGAGTTTGATGAAAAGTTCATTTGCATTCATGCAGTGAAAAATAGAATGTGTTTTGGGTAAACACACTGTGTAACATAGGGAGGTCATTAGTTTCACATATTTATTTTTACTTATTACTCTTGCAGTGCATTTGAACCATAATTATAAAGTTTATCACTAATGTTAATAAATTATAATATATATTGAAGTAAGTCTAACATGCCTATTTTCCATTCCAGCGGGTAACAAATGTGTGGTCTAGTGGTTAATGTGTGTAACAAAAATATTTGTGTAAACAATATATTCAGTTGTAGGGGCAATATGTTAATATAGTAAAATCCCTTACTATAATTCTTCTCTTTTCCTCCCATGTTATATTGCCTCGGTGGGCTAACCTCTCAGATTTAAAATTTTATTTTCAAAAGTTTACTGCACTACACTATTTGATAAAAATTAAGTTTCCCACAATTTCATTGAGCAGTTTCATCAACTATTTCTTGTCATACTGTACCATGAGAAACAACTTGCAGCACACTGGCCTTGCCCCTGATGGGGCTCTGGCAGCGTTCATGTGGTCTGCTACATATGAAATCACATGCCTAAACATTCGTTTTTTAAATTCTTGTAATTAAAAAATTTTTTACATGCTCAAAGCCAAGCTTTACTTTGATAGATCACATGAGATATAACAGTTAATAATATTTCGTTCTGAAAAATTCAATCTCTGCACTGCAGTTGTGGTAGCTGTGTGATAAAGTGGAAACAGTGGTGTTTGAGAGGCCACTAGTTACGAAAGTAGTGCTGCACTCCGTTTAGGGCAGTGCCTGTCTGTGGGTGGCGACACGTGCAGGGCCAGGTGTGATATCGAGGCAGTGGAAGTAGTTGGTTCAATGTCGGTCTTGCTGTTAAGTACACTCTGGTAGTAGCTGACGTGGTGTTCAGTGTTGGTGTCAGTACAGCAAATTGGCACTTGTGTACATCAATGCCAGTAAAGGGGAAGAACTAACTGTTATATGTGGACATTAATGAGTAAGGTATTTAATCAGCTTAGTTGAAGTTGATGGTGTTTATTCCTGGTTAACAGCATTATAGTAAAGGGCCAGTGAACAACCCCAAAGTCCAAAATTTGTTGTAAAAAGAAATATGGGCACTTTTACTTTGTGAACATGCTGCCGCAAGAATTTTACGAATACGTGCTATATTAAGGAAGTTACAGGGGCTAGAACGTAATGTTCAGCTGGTTTCAAATTTTCGCGTGGCCTCACCACTCTTCTCCAACAGAGGGAGGGGAAGGCGTGGCCCTTTGTTACTACGCCTATTTTGGCAATGTGACAAGACATGAGCGATTGACGTAATTGGTGAACTCAATCAGTCGCAACGCACTTCCGCTTGCCGCGATCCCTGGTTGTTTACTGTTTACCCGGTGCCATTGCTTCTCTGTAGCCGAGTCACTCGATTTGCAGCCGACAAAGATTTGCAGCAAAACTGCATTCCTAAACCCAGACATGAAGTTGGCCTGATTTTCTAGGAGTTCAATTTTTTGGTAGCGGACTGTTGCGTCATCTCGGAGCTGCAACACAAAACACAAATAATGCACTTAATAGTGAGTGGGTGTGCTGACTAAGAGGTGTTGCGACAATTTGCTCACTCCCAAGAACTCGGTCAGTGAAGTGTCTCGATTTCGATGCATGGAGTCTATGGGGAGTTTCGTAACTCGTATGATTGAATAGCTCTGTTGTAGCTGTGGGTGGGAACAGGAACTGTCATTGACTTCACTACTGTTTGTTTATAGCTGGCTTAGACCAATGGACGAGCTGTGTTACGTCGCCAATGGCCGCGTTGTCATCACTGCGCATGCAAGGAGCATTGGTCAGGCTTAGCAAAGGAGCACAGAAAATGTTTTTCAATATGCAGACTCTGCATGGTGCACAGCTCTGCAATATTCAGAAAACGTGATTTCTGCGGTCTACTCTATCAATTTTGTTTGGTGGGTGTAAAAAAGGGTCAGAGCCTGTTGATTGGCTCTTTAAATAGACCTCTCCCTGTTTGTAAACAGTATGACGTCACTCTAGGCACCCCGCCAACGATACCTTCTCTCGGAGCAGGTGCTGGTTGGCAAGAAAGTTCCACCGGGGGCATCTTTCTGCAAAGCAGAGCTGCGTGTCTACATTCCTTCGACACAAATTTCTACATTTCTATGTTCTAAAGCCACAGCTTTTGAAAGAAGGGGGTTGCGGCAGGGTCACTGCTCATAGTGTGGAAATTTGCTCGTTGTAGGTGGATGCAGAAACTTTATTTAGAGTACGGAGAGACGCGACAAGCACGCAGTGGGTTTCACCCGCGTAGATGGCAGCCATTAAAAAAAAAAATCTGATCTTTTTCGAAAGGGAACGTTTTCAATGCACACGGTGACTGGCACTTTGAGAAATATTTGCGTGGTATGGATGTAAACTTACTCAATTTCCGTCGTGGCATATGCAAAGCAGTTTTAAACGAGGTATAGCATTGGCGGCAGCATGCTTTTGAGCTGTTGTGCGCGACGTCACGGATACGATTCTCACTCAGTGAACAAAAGCATGATCGTAGAGAATTGAAGAAAAAAAACACTTCTTGCCGTACGATAGGCTCAGTATAACATATCCTCGTGAAAATTAAAGCGAAATTTGGCCACCACGTTTCTCAATAACCTAGGGAAAATTCATTTGATGTAAAACCCGACAACCTAATAGTATATAATATTGTCTGGCACAGTTACCTTGCTGCATTTGAAACTTGTAATGTGTTTTCGTGCCTAGTTTGCTCCTTTAGGCTTGATACACAAACTTATAATGCACATAGTCACTTCATAAGGGTCGAGCCGTAAATGTACAAAGTGGATAAGAAACGAAGATCTCCGCTGTTTCGATTAACACGTGTCAGGTATCCCGTGGTGAAGCGTATATGCAGATTCCGCAACGCTACAACATGCTTATAGCTCATGCCTAGTCGTATATATCAACCGGAGATCATGCACTTTTATTTTTCTGCATGGCGCGCATACACTAAGATGTACCCAGTCGCAGATGATCGCGTAAAATGCATTTTTATCTCGACTAAAATGTCAGATCGTAAAGTTCCATCGACAACCGGTTACCGCAACCGGCCCACAAGGAATACCATTGTTTTCGTAAACAGGACGTTATTCACACTGCACACACCACGCACAATATTCTCAGTTTCACGGTCCGTAAAGGTGAACCAATATTTTCGATACCTTTCAATGCACACTGCACGCCACAGTCAACACTGCACATTTTCGAAGACGATGCCGCTGTTTCTCGCACAGGCCGCCACGTGTGTTCACTTCCCCTAGATAAACAGCCAGTCAGCGTGGCAAACATTTCATCAGGCACTTTACCACAGAACTAGATGTTGTCTGACACATACCACAGCTAATAATGCCACTGTGAGATAAACATTAAGCTTTAAAAAAGAAACGAAAGCTTGCCCCAAGCACCGAGTGGCTGCACCTCACTCAGCTACCGGCAGGAGTGTTTTGCCAACCACTGCCTTGCACGTGCACCGGTGACGTACCCTGGTAGAAGTCTATTAAGGATAGACAAAAGGGCAAACACCTGCCTTGCACGTGCACCAGTGACGTGCCCTGGTAGAGGTCTATTAAGGATAGACAAAAGGGCAAACACAGTGAGCCAATACTTATTCCAATTTAAATTCAGTGATATTTGTAGTGGCTGCCTGTACAAATAGTAAAATGTGGTGATTCAGCGCATAAGCAACATCACTCTGGTTCTGTTGAGGAA